GATAACATTCCTAAATTGACAAAATGTTAGAAACAGAGAACAGATTAGTGGTTGCCAATGGGCTAAGGAGGGGGCAGGGATGGGAGGGAAGTGGGTGTGGTTATATAGGGCAACATAGATCCTCTCGTGATAGAATTTTTCTGTACCTTTTTCTTTTCTTTTCTTTCTTCCTTTTCTCTCCCTTCCCTCCCTCCTTTCTTTCTTCTTTCTTTCTTTCTTTTCTCTCCTCTCCTTCCTTCCTTTCTTCTTCTTTCCTTCCTCTCTTTCTTTTGACAGAGTCTCACTCTATGGCCCAGGCTAGAGTACAGTGGCATGGTCATAACTCACTCCAGCCCTGAACTCCTGGCCTCAATGGATCCTCCTGCCTCAGCCTCCCAAAGACCTGAGATTACAGGTGTCAGCCACCTTGCCTGGCCTCTATCTTGACTATATATCAATGTCAACATCCTGATTGTGATACTGTACTATAGTTATGCAAGATGTTCACACTGGAGGAAACTGGGTAGAGGGGATAGAGGATCTCTGCATGATTTCTTACAAATGCATGTAAATCTACAGTTATCTCAAAATAAAAAGTTTAATCTAAAAAAGTTAACCAAACAGAATCTATTTCAAATCTGTTCTGTCATCTGAAATAATTATTGCTTCTAAGAGGCTTCTCTTGCCTATAATTTTGTTAGCAGCCCAAAGGTTGAAGTTTCTGAGTTAATGTTAAATGTTGCAAACATTTAGGGGAAACATAGCTAGCACCTTGGGCCAAAATATCTGCCCAAACAAACTTGCCTGCAAAAATCTCATCAGGTACATGTATTAACTTACAAAATAATTAACTGTTTAGCTAGCATTGATATGTTCTTGCTAATATTGTATATTAATTGAGGTTTCTTGGCTTTATTATTGTTCAATTCCCTCAAATTATTTATTTCCCTCCAAAGAGCTATGGGATATTTTTCTTTTAGTTAAAAAAATTCCTCTGTAAAACACAAGCATATTTCATTAATATTTAAACAACAAGGCAAAGTTCCCTCACTTCCCACCCCAGTCCTCTCCCCAGAGATAATCATTGTTATCAGTTTATTTCCTTCCAAATTATTTTTTGTGTATTTCTAGACATATATACAGTTTGTGTGTGTGTGTGATTTTTTTTTTACAAAGAAAGGACCATACTGTTTATATCATTCTTCAAATTCACATGTCAGTATGTTTAGATCTAATTTAACTCATTCTTTTCAACTGCCTTGCAGAATCAGTATCGATGTACCATAGTCTAACCATTCCCCTGTTGACACTTAGGATAGTTCTAGTTTTTGCTATTGCAAGCAATGTAGCTATCAGTGAAAATCCTTGTACATGTTTCTTTGAGTACAAATGGTTATTTCTCTACGACAGAAACTTAGAAATGAAACAAGAGCATTCAAGGTGTGGTCAACACTGTTGACTGGCTGAACACCTGCTCCTACCTATTCCCAATCTTCCCCACTCCTGCCTCCCACAACAAAGGCTGGAGAAGCTGGAAACTCACTCACCCCAGCTTGCAAGCTAGGAGTGGCCATGTAACCCAGTTCTGGCCAATTAAACATCAGCAAAAATCTGCTGGACGGTCCCTAGGAATGTTTTTGCTTTCCAGATAAAAGGGATAGACATGACTGGCATTGTCTCTTTTTCCTGCTATAAAGGTGTCTGTGGTGTTTGGTGGGGTGGCAGCCGCGTTACAACATGAGGGAAAGCCAAGAGAATCACTATGATCCTGGCCCTAATATCAATGAGCTGCTGAACCAAAGCGAACAGCAGCCCACTCCAGACTGCCTAGTATGTGAGAATAAACCATTGGTTTAAGCTGCAGTGAGTCTGGTTTTCTGGTACTTGCAGCCAAATGCATTCTTAAGTGATTCAGTACTCTCTAAAATGTCTGTACTCACTTTATTCCCTCACAAAAGTGTATTAAAAGTAGCCATTTCCCAAACTTTTATCTACTTCGAATACTGGCAGTCATTTAGATGTGTAATCAGTCTGATGCATGAAAGCGTTTCACATGAAGTCGAGTGTCACTTCACACATTTACTGGCCAGATTTCCCCCTCTATGATTGCCTTATTCATATCTCTTGTCCACTTTGCTGCTATACTGTCTAACATTTTCTTATTGATTTATAAGAGGAAGTTTCCAAATCACAAACTAGGCTGAGTTAAACTTACAGGGAAATTTGTCTCTTTATCTTTATACTGTCAATCAAATCAAACACAACTGTAAGAAATAAATCTTTGTGACAGGCCAGGCTGACAGTGACAGTCGTCCCTGAGTGGTGCCCCATCACGTGGCAATGTGTCAAGAAGTAATTCAACTCATACCACAGCCTGTGCTTAGTACTTCCTTTGTAAATCTACACCTAAAGAAAGGTTTATGGAATAGTGACACACTAGTGAACCAGGCAGAGTCTTTAACATATACCATCTCTTTTAACCCTCACATCAAACCCAACAGGCAGTCCTTATTATTCCTGTCTTACAGAATAAATGATCAAAGTTAACATTTAAAACAAATAGTTTCTTTCCTACCACAAAAACTTAAAAACGTTCCAGGTCCAATATTTTAAAAACCAAATGGTTGTCCATCTCAAATTAAAATTATGTGAAATATATTTTTTACATAATTTGATGTGCCTACCTGAAGACATCAACATGCTTAAGCTAGAAACATTGCTGAACCTGTTTAGTGGTTTATGAATCTGAAGAAGCTGTTCCAAAATTTGGCTCTAAAGTTTATTGCCACACTATAGATAACCAAAATCGTTTCCATTTTTGAAAGTGAAAACCTAAAATGAGTAGGATTTCAATGATTCAGCAACAGAGACCTATTAGCCAGACACCCCACCCCATGGCAGCAGGTAAGGAATTCCCAGGCCTAATCAGTTAACAACCAACCAATTTGACACTGGAAAACAAACAAAATAGGCTGTTAAAGATAATAAAAGATTGTCATGAAAAGTAATGTAAACAAGTTGAATAGAACAAGCACATCCTTGACTATTTATACATGTTTTGGATTTTGAATAGATTGACTCTGCTTTAAAAATCTTAGCAGCTAGAGGAAAAGGGAAAGTTGGCAAAGCTCCTGCTCCTAGGGTAGGGGGGGCAGCAGGAGGGCTGAGGCTGTGACAAATATGTCCCTGCTTTATGCCACACCTCTCCTAATAAGAGCTGTGGATTTTCTCTGGCAAAGCATCACACAAAGCACTCAATCCACAGCTGATAAGGAGCACAGGCAGCAAACCTCCTTGGTGCCTCCAACCAAACCCTCCCTGAGGGGATACACCCAGCCAGGGCCCCAAGAACTGACAGTCACTATGGCAGGAAGGCCAGACCACCTAGGCACTACGCACTTGGGCCCCAGGAAGACACAGGGATTCACCTGGAGCACCCTCTTGCAGGATTTTTTAGACCATTTGCAAGGTACAGAAGTATGCCTGGAAGATTTTGAATTCTTTATTTTACATAAAAGAAATCCAGTCCACAGACACATACAATGTTGATGGTTTACAAAAGTGCAAATGGGTTGACAAATCCCCAACCTGAGGGTACGTCTCTGGTGGTTCCTTCCATTTTCCTGGTGGGCTTGCCCAGTGGCCGCTGCTTGGGGAGCAGAGTACTTCCCTCACCCCTGTCCAGCTTCCTAGTAGAGGGTGCACACCTTACCCACTGGTACAGCAAGGGTGGTAGCACATGGAAAGAAACCTCTTTCCCAAAGTCTGCTGTAGCCAGGTCAGGATTTGAAAGGGGGCAGGGGTCCTGATGGGCTTCACCTGACCTTGGTCCAGGTGTTTTCGAGACACATGGCAGGAAAAGAAGCAAGCTTTAGTCACCAGTACAAAACAAGACATATTCCTTGGCCCTTCAAAACAGTCTGTCCAAGCCTCCGGACACTAGAGGCACAGTAAGCAGGGCATGCAAGAGAGGGGGATACCAAGTCTCTGAGGGGGGCAGAGATACCAAGAAAAAGAGCAAAAAGGGAACAGAAGAGGGGGACTAGGGTCAAAATGTGCCCAAATCAAACCAGGTACAGCAGCACAGTGCTGGCCTGGCTGAGCCCTTGGCCAGCTCTGTGGGAGGGGATGCTCCTGGCACCATAAGGCTCCCCGAGTGCCTATTTGGGCCCAGGGAGGGCCAGGCCTTGTAGGTCCTCCCAACAGACTGGTGGCCCTGAAACAGCTAAGAGTGGAGAAGGGGGATGGCTCAGCACTACCCCTCCCCCCAGCAATTGCACAACCAATTAAATACACCCAGACACATGGCCTCTGTCTGGTGCACAGGCAGGCACACACATCTGTACACACAGGTTAGTGGTTAGGTGCATAGATGCACACACAGCCTCACTGTGTGTGAGCACACACACATATACCCTCCCAGTGAAGGGATACAACAGCTGGGAGGTGCACACACACTAACTCTTTCAGGAGTGAACAGACATACGACCTTTCTGCAGGTTGACACTCATGCACACACACTCCACAACCTCTTGGTCAGGTACATACAGACCTCTATATTAAGTACACACACAAACTTACAGCCTGTCAGAAGAACACACACTCACAATCTCCCTGTTAGGTGCACACTCACTCTTAATCTCTGTCGACTTGTGCACGCGCAATATATATGTGCACACGCAACCTTTCAGGTGCACAATACACTCACAAGCTCTCAGGTGCACACACACTCACTTCTCCGCTGACGGGCGTGCATACACAAACTCACAACCTCCTTGTTAGGTGCACACACACTCGCTCACAACCTCTCCATCAGCGCATGCACACTCACACTTGCTCAGTCAGCACACGCACCCTCGCAGCCTCTCTCCTCCAGGCGCACCCCACACCCACGCACCCTCCTGGCCCGGTGCACCCCTCCCCCAGGCCCGTGCCAGCGCATGGCAGCGAACTCCAGCGGCGCGGGGTGTGCACACGCCCCCGGCCCGCAGCCGCCCGGCCGGCCCGCGCTCCCCCCTCACCTTTCTCGCCCGCGCCTGGCGCCCGGCCCTCGTCCTCCTTGGGGTTGGTCACCTGGGTGATGATGGCCGGGCCGTCCATGGGTGCGCGGCGTGGCGGCCGCCCGCAGGCCCGGCCCCCCGCGAGCCAGGCGCACGGGGGCGCGGCG